GAACTTTTCGAAAAAATACACAAAAAAAATTAAATATGATCAATTCTATAAAATAATCGGTTTTTCTGAACAAAATCGTTATTTTTTCAAAGTTGGCCACTTTTTTTTTTTATTTTTTTACCCCATGTATATTAGGGTGTGCCAAAATTCAATTTCCGTGAAGAACCTTTAAAATTGGAATTTTGAGTTCCGCTTTTAACAGGAGCTGTATTTGGGTATTTCTTCAGATATTTTGGGTTGAGACAATTTATTTGATTTTCATAGAATTTTTAACAGGGGTTTTGTTTGGGCACTTTTGGGCAAATGCAATAATTTCAAAATATCACTATAATATCACTATAATAATTTTTCGAGCTGAAAAATCTCGTGGTTGTTAAAACATGCTTATTGAAAATTTTTAATTGCGATCTTCCGATCAAATCAATCGTTTTTGATGAGGCTTGGAGCATTCGACGCAGTTTTTCAGGTACAAAAAGATAATTTATTACCTACCAAACGATTCGACGTAACATTTTGAAATTATCTTGAAGTTTTGAAAAGATACTTTTTTAGATTTTTTAAAAATGAAATATCTCACAAACGATTCGACCGATTTTGACGAACTTCGCGGTGTTTGACGCAATTTTTTAAGTACTAATAATTAACAGATCACATCAAAACCAACCCGATAAGAAATTTCGGTTATTTGAAAAAAACACTTATTTCGAAATTTTTCGTCAACAGTACCTCACGAACGAATGAATCGATTTTGATTTCTTAAGCGGCATTCAACGTCATTTTTTTTAGCTTAAGAACTCATAAGGTTATAGAATTGATCAATAAAACAGCTCGTAAGTTATTTTGAAAAAACTTGATTTCGAAAACTTTTTTATCAGTTTTTTTTTTCGAATTACTCAAAATATATCGTGTGACGTTGCGGAAGGTTTGAAAGCCTCGTTGTGATAAACACGACTTCCCCGTGCTCAAGCTCGCCGTGTCCAGGGTCGGGATGGGGATCACGCAACACAGATAAACTTACATCTAACTAATATTAGCCAAATAATAACACAGATTCCAACTATAAGGTTAATTTATTCACCAAATCTCATAAAAATAATAATAAACTCAAATTCGTCATTGCAAACCAAGATACAATACAACTATACAATATTCAATACTCCATACATTACAAACCATAGTCATACGTATTATCTTAACTTTTACCCCAAAATCTAATATATACATTTACAATTACTCTCGACAAACCGTAACCTACTTGCAGCCTACTGGGGACTTCGCGTCGCGTCCGCGGTCCTATCTAATCTCTCCCCAGTTCCCTCTATCAACCAAGAGAGGCTTGGTTACCAATATGGAGATACCGGGATTGTGTCAGGTACCCCGACGCCCAGCCGTATCTCCCCCTAGGTGTTCCGATAAGAAGTACCTCCTTATCCAGGTGTCCACAACCTCCTAGCTATTACCCAACTCTCGTTCGAAACGAGAGGTCGTGTACCACAACCTTACCTCTTGCCGTGCAATAGAGGCTATTCGGTGACTTAAGTACCTCAAGTCGACCTGGCGACAAAGCGATCCACTGTGTAGGCAGGATTAATTACAGAAAGTATATACTAAGTATATAACAATTCCAACTGCTCTCGGCACAGCACTTGTAACTTCTCTGCAGAGTGTACCACTCGCTCGGAAGCCTGCGGAAGCCCAAGCTGATCTGACGAAAAATGATCAGAAAATTGCTTTTAACACTTCTGGAGCGATAGTCTCCGCGCGAACAGTCTGAGCGACACCGCGCTGCCTCACGGCGCTCGCGAGAACTATGCTCCTGGGCTTCCCGGCTGCTTCCCCTACTCTTGGCTTGTCTCCGGCGCTCTCGCCGTCTCTCTCTCTTCCCTTTCTTTTCTCGAGTAGGCAGCGCGCGGCTGTCTTTTCTCTCGCACTCAAATAAAATACTCTTATTAATTAATAAATAATACATTATTTATTAAATTTATATAAAATATAGGGGCGCGTCACAATCGCACCGAATCGGTTCATACCATCAAGAAAGTCTAAGTTTCGTTGAACTCTTTCGAATGAAGCTTATCTCTTTCAAATCGGTTAAACCGTTCAAAAGTTATGAGAGGTTTACACAAATATACACAAAATGTTTGATTGATTAAATTCGTAAAATTCTTGAGTGAAGAACTTTTTCTCCTTATCTTTAAGTTTTATTTTTTTATTTAATTCTTGGTTTAATTCGTGATAAATATCTCTCAACAAGAGTGAAATATTGAAGAGAGTATTTTTCTTGTCATGAAGAGATTTTTTCTTTCATTGTATACATCTAACAAATAAATGTAATTAATGCACTTAAATTTGATAATTATTTGTTATAGATATCGAAGTGATGACAAAACTTGACAACTTAGCAAGATTTGAACTAAAACAAATATCTATAGTGACTGGCATCGTTAGTATATTAGCATTGTCTCGTATCTTTGGAGCTGATATAGGAAAAAAAGAATTTCCAATCCGTGCTTATTTTCCATTCGAAGCATACACATCACCACGATATGAATTATTATACGTCGCAATAACCTACGGTGTTTTCTGTGTAGACTTTACCTTGCTCGTAATCGACATGATGATCGTTGTGATAATGAGGTACTTGACCTTCCAATTGAAAATATTGTTAGCTAATTATAAACACTGTCACGTTAAATCGATCAAAGAAACCAAAGACAATTTTTCATCTGGCATGAAAATAATTAAAAATTATCACGCAATAACAAATACTACTGATGATGATGAGAATGGTGATGATCAAGCAAAGGACGACATACAAAATTTTGTTATTTTTGAACTTAATAAAGAAGATGTTAACGAAATAAATAATTTTGATTGGAGATTTAAGCAGTGTGTCATACACCATCAAAAGCTAGTCAATATGATGACGATTCTTAACAACAGCTTCAGTTTTTGTGTTGTTGTTCAGATTATGGGCAGTATTGTATTACTTTGTCTGAACGGTTTCCAAATTTTATTAGTAAGTGATACTATATTGTGAAAATATCTTCTTTAAAGAATAATGTATACTCTTGAAAGACACAGTTGATAAAAATAGTGCAAGAAATCATACATTCGAATGTTAATATAACATTGTTCTAAGTAAAAAAATTCGAACTTTTAAACAAAGAAAAATTTTTTGAAGTTTATTACTTTATTTAAAAATGAAGTTGAAGAAAAATGGTGAACAAAAAACAATCATTTTTCCTCCAGACCAAAAAAAAATTATCAAAAATTTTTTAACAAAATAGTATAGCATACTGCAAAATTTAAATCAAAATAGAATAACGTAAAATTTAAATACGGGAAAAATTAATATGAACTTGAAGTCAAATTTGCAATGCACCTATAATTTAAGATTCACCTTTTTAGTAACAGTGATATGACTTATATTTAAATTTTACAGGGTAAAGACGACAGCCATCTATTTTTACGGCGAGTTATGGCTATAACTGCTGTAATACTTCAACTATATTTTTGGTGCTGGTATGGTAACAACATGAGCACCGAAGTAAGTTTCGAGATATATTTTTACCAATAATTATCATTTAAATTCAACAATTTATTAGTAAAAAAAAAAACTGCATGTATATGATTAATTAGGCAGATGCACTGACTTATCATCAATGGATGTGTGGTTGGGAAAATGAATTCAGACGAGGTATCAGCAATTCCGTAACTACATCTATGATTCTATCACTACGATCACTAGATCTCCGGGCAATGGGCCTGGTTCCTTTATCTCTGCAAACATTCATCTCTGTATGATAATTTGTTAAACATAATTCATTATTTCTGACTGTCTACTAAAATAATTTTTTACAGGCTATCAAAAACTCATATTCAGTGTTGGTACTTCTACTAACCGTAGTCGACGATTAATCAAATATTAATGTTGTCAAAATTTGCAGATGGTTTAATAAATAGATTTGAGTAAAATGTATATTAGAAGCATTGCATACTTATTTCGCACATAGCATAAAGCGCAAACGGTTGGAGATTATGCTTGACCTCTCAACATGAATGTTTATTAATTCTATCAATTCAATCAACATTTATTTTAGATAAAACTAGCTGTTACTCGCCCGCTCCGTTGGGCGCTTTATAGAATTGCATTTTTAAATCTAGACTTGAAATTTAATTAGAATGCTGAAATGAAATTAGAAAAATTTCTTGACTGGAGAACAAAATTCTTGGCTCAAAAAAATTTTCGGGTGCCTGAAGGAAGACCGAAGTTGTTGGCCGAAGTAAAAATTTTTCTTTAAATTCTATTCTTGGTGGAAGTAATTCTTTCTTAATTCAAATTATTATAAATACTTGATAAAATAAATTTTTATATTTGATCAATATTTTTAGATACTTTAAGGAAGCAGCGCCACCTACTTTAGCTGAAAAAATAATTTTCTCACCTTGAGAAAATTTTTCTCTTGAATATTTGATACACATTTAATATTATTTTACCGTGCGATTATACAAATTGAATAAAAAAAAATGATTTATATTATTTGATCTTTTCATTTGACATGTTAATCAATAAAAATATTAATGAAAATTAACTTCTATCTTTATATTTCATTTTTTGGAGCAAGAGAAAAATTTTCTCAAGACAAGAAAATTTACTTCTATCAAGAATTAAATTTTTTGGAGCAAGAGGCTGAATTTTCTTAAAACAAGAAGATTTTCTTGACTTGAATAAATTTTCTTGGATCAAGATACGTATTTCTTAAAGCAAGAGAATTAATTTAGTTTAAATAAGTGAAATTTTTTGTATCAAAAAAAAATTTTTCGCTCAAGAAAATAATCGGGAAGAAATGTACTATTCTCTCCATGCCGGGAGAAAAAATGAGATTTTCTTCTACGTACAGCGGGAGGAAAACCGAACTTTCGGCGTCGGTAGGAGAAAAAAATTTTTTCTCACCTCCGGGCGGAAAGCGTCAATTTTCCTCCCACTGCGCTAAACGAAAATGCCGCTTTCCGATTCCGTCGAGGAGAAAAATAGTATACACACCACGGGAAGTAAATAAAAAGGCCTCAGATCACATGTTTATTGACCTCGGCTTCGCCTCGGACAACAATTACATGTGATCTGAGACATTTCTTATTTTACTTCCTTAGATATGTAATATACTATTTTCGCTCAAGAAAATAATCGAGAAGAAATGTACTATTACGACGGAATATATAGGAATAAGTTCTATTTTTTTTCTCTCCGTGCAGGTAAAAAAGTGAGACTTTCTTCCCCGTACAACGGGAGGAAAACCGAACTTTTGGCCTCGGTAGGAGAAAAATAATTTAATAGCATATTAGAAATAGCACACTGTAAAAAATTTCGGTGTAAAAGTTGGACCCAGAGACGTTTACACCATCGTGTAAGTGTGGAAAGTCGATGTAAAATTTCCTCTATGTGAAATTTTCACTAGTATAAATTTAACACGGTGTAATTTACTGTTTTACACTATTCCGTGTTATTATTTATAACTTTGCAAATTTAATTACTATTACCAGTAACCTTGCAGTCACTATGTGAAGGCCGTGACTTGTGAATTATAAATAACTAAAATTTTGCTTTATTAAATAATGACTTTTGTTTAATTGCGCACTATACTTTCTTAACTATTGACGTTTTTAAAGATATATGAGCTCATCCCGATGTTACACTCATCAAGAGCTTTCATTTGAGTACCTACATGCATTTTGATATATTTTCATATATACATATATTGTGACATGGGAAAATTTTCCATGTCAAAAGATTATTTTGGTCAATTGTTTAAATTTAATTTTCTTGTACTATTTAATTATTTTGGCTTAGCTGAAGGAAGGCGAAGATTCGACGCGACTATGTCGCCCCAAAACGGTCTCCTGATCAGAGTGAGAAGCTCGAGGTAAGACAGGTAGAAAGGAAAAGCGCCAAATTTTAAAAGTATGCATGAATGAGTGTGAATATTGTAAAGAGTATGCTAGAGTGAGAGCGACACGAAGTTAGAGCGATCAGATGAATACCCTGATAGCCACACTTACTATAAAAATACTTGTAGTATAGCAAGTTTTGTCAAAGCTAACGTTAAGTTCACTCCAAAACTTGTACAGTAAAAATTATATACAATTTGTGTTGAAGTTGTATAGTAACTTGACGTTAATCTACTGCCGCAATTTCAATCCAAGTTTTAACCAACTTTTAATATGATACTAATGTTAGCCGACGTTTAAAAATTTTTCTATTTTTTGTAACAATCAAATTGCAAGTAAAAAAATAATTTAAAAAAATTGCATTCATAATTTTTCAAATTTCCTACATGTGAAATTTTTTCTTTTTATTTTATAGTAACAATTTTTTTAATGAAAATAATTATAAAAATTTTCAGATGTCGGCTAATTTAATTTTCATACTTTTTATCTATAAAAAAGTTATTGTTAAGTTAGAATGATATTTAAAAAAAAAATTACTGTAAAATTCATAGAAAAATTAATGTTACTTTAAGTTATATTTATTCGGACCTTTAAGTTGATTAGCAAACCATGATTTAAAAAAGTTTTTTGCAGGTTAATTCTCAATCACTTAAGTGATTTCTTATTTTTCGTAAGAATTCTTATAAAAAATTAATGAAAAATAATAGGACGATAAAAAAAATTTTAATGCTTTGTAAATAAATTTATCAAAGATTTCAGAATATTTCTATATTCAAGAAAATTAAACATCACATAATTTCAGATATTTATTTTTATTAATAAATTATTGAAACACTTATTTTATACATTTTTGAAGCAAATAATGAAAATTAATTTAGCTGACATTTGATAATTTTAAGAATTTTTTTTAACAAGTAAATTATGGTAAAAAATAATTAGAAAAAAAAATTGACATGTACAAATTTATAATAATAAAAAATGTAATTTTTTATAAATAATTTTTTGGAATTAATTTATTTGTTAAAAAAAAATTACAAAATAGTCAAGTGATTGCTAACTTCAATGTCATAGCTAAAAACAAAAAACTATTAAATTAATTCAATTCACTCACTTTATATTCATAATTGCAAATAAAATTTTACATTTTTTACATTATAAAAATATTGTGTCAGATATAAGTAACTGAAAACGCTTTGATGGTATGAGTCGAAGATAGCTCATCTGATAGTGAGCTAGGCTAGGAACCAGGCGATTCGGGTTCGAATCCCCGGTTTAACAATAAAATATTAATTTTTTTGCCACGGCAGTAGTTAAAAATTTTTACTATGCTTCGTTTTTTTTACCGATAAATTACCTACCGATGTAAAAAAAGAGACAAATTCTGATAAACTGCCATATCAATGAGTGTTTGCATTCATTTTGTCCAACTTCACTAAAACTTCACATTAAGACTTTTACTAAAACATTTTGATAAAAGTTAAAGTCAAATTTCGGCCCTAGATTGTATAAAAGTTGGACTGCAACTTAACGTTAACTTTTACAATTGGATGGCTATCAGGGGAGGTCATTCATCAGTAGATTTTACCCCTCATATTTTTCTCATACTGGGCGCCTTATATATGAAAATCGATTCTTAAGGAGTAAACTCCAAAAACTATTTTATAACAATAACATGATTATTACTCAACGTTATTGTAAAAAAATTAAAAATAAACAAAATAGAAATGTAACACGAAATAAAATTTTTAAAGATTACATTTTTTTTTTACCACTAGATTTTGTAGCAAAAAAAACTTTCTGCGGATAAAAATTCTACTAATCTAGAGAAATCGTTGAATCTTACCTTAATCTATATCAAGTAAACTATAAAAACAATTGATTACTCGTAGATTCTATAAACTTGAAATGAAAAGAGAGAAGTAAAATGAAATAAATGAATGATGAAAAAATAAAATAAAGGGCAGTAAGGTAAAAGCCCCAATAGATGATCACTGATCACGTACCAGTATATGATCACTCCATGTATTTGTATA